GGTGTTCAGGTTAACTGGTGTTCAGGTTAACCGGTGTTCAGGTTAACTCGTTAATAAAGTCTATATCCATGTCAACATCATCTACAGACAGCAACCTAAATGTGCTGACCAAAATGAAACACATTTTTCTCGTCCGGTGAGGGGATTCGGTACCATGTAGTCCAGATGTAGGAATATGAGTTCAGCATTCTACGCATTGAGCCACCGATCAGCTCCATTAGGATTCCTGTAGATCTATTCCGGTCCTTCAGGTGTTCATCACCTGGTGGTTACTCAGGAAGATCAACTGCTGATGATGTAACACAGACACACACTGCCTGTTTAACAATGACCCACAAATATAATTATTGTCTGACCAACAAAACCCACGACATCGAAACACATTGTGTGTTGTGTTGTGTTGTGTGTCAGTGTGTGCATTCAGCGGATCGCCTCTTAAGGCAGAGATACACACCTCTTGTGGTTCAACTTGTCAAAGCTGCAGTTTTGGAGTTTCAACAGAAATAACTTTTTCTTTTATGTGACTCAGTGTTTAATATCAGCAGTATTCTATGTTAGTTCTGTTTTCCTGAGACCTGCAGCTTTATGTGGTTCAGAGAGTTTCACAAGTTCGTTTCTGAAGTACCAGAGTTCTGTTAATGAGCTCAAAGATGGAACTTTTCATATTTCATCTGCCCCATAATCAGATGATTGATCGACTGTCCAGTGTTATATTATATATTATAATAACGCATGGCATGATGAGAACAACAGAGAACATTTCAGGTTTTATCTTTAATAGTTCCTCAGATGTTGTTCAAACAGCCTCAAGTGTCAATATGAGAAAAACCTGCTGAAAGTGGCTCAAGGGGAATTTAAAAAATGGTTTTGAAAGTGTTTATATACCAACATATACCAGGATAACCAGCTGTAGTTGAACCAGTGCTGGCCGAGCTGCAGCTCCTGGTGACTTCACACATGAACTAGTTCAGAGTCTGTCTGTCAGGCTGCTCCGCTGAATGTTCTGGATGTGATTCACACAACAACTGGCAGCCAAATGTAGAGCCCAGGCCAATATTAGCAGCAGATCAGGTGACAGCTGTGGGGGTTTCTGCTGCTGGTCAGGAGGAACAACTGCTGACGCAAACACACAACTCCTTCTGGATCAACCGGAACCGAACCCAGCAGAGTTCCTCACATGGTGTCAATAAATACAAACATTAAATCCCAGTTTACAGACTCGACTGGCTGAGGAACCTTCTGTGGGTATAAATAAATCAGAGCAGCGAGAGCCGTCGTGACACCAGAGCTCTGCAGCACACGAATAACACAAGGCAGCAGTGACAGCAGGAGGGTCAGCACTCCAGCACCGGGCCGGGGCGGATCGTCTCCTCAGACATCCTGAGCATGAAGCACGAGGTTCTGATTGGTGGACATGTCCTCCAGGTGTGTCCCTGAGCAGCACACCTGAACCCTGAGGCCACAGCTCATCATGGGTCTTCATACCGACACGGTCCGCATGTTTCAGTGGCTTTGGGCTGCTCAGAACTTTATTTGTAGTATGTGGTACTTGTTCTATTGCAGGATTTGATCTCACTGGTGCTTCTTGGCTTGTTTCAGTGTTTTCTACCATTTTCTATCCGTTCACTAATGGAACCTATTTACATCACGTTGGT